TGTAAAAAATATTTCAAATTATGAGTTTATGTACCTTTTGTATCATTTTCGAATGATATATGTTACTATATCTATTTTATTTTATGTGATACAAGTGATATTAGAAAAGTCAACGAAATTTCTTATATGATTCTCACATATTTTTAGTTGTCATTTTACTGTGATTCATAGTACTTTTTAGTTTTTACGTTATTTTCAAACAATATATGCAACTTTTTTTTTGTTTCGACAAAAATAAGGGAGTCAATCAATTTTTATCAATTTTTTAACTATATTTTTCAAAAAAATATCTTAAATTGTTACATTTCATTTTTGGGTTTTTTTTAATGTAATTTTCAAATATGTAACAAATTAGTTGTTAAAACGAAGAAATTATAGTTTTCAAATCATTATATTTCTATATTAAAATGTTCAAATCTTTAAAGCTCCACATATATGCACAAATTAATAGAAAGAAGCTAAAAGAAATATATGAAAGCTCATTTTAATAATAACAGATGTACATTTCATTTTTAATATATGAATCCCTCCTTTTCAATTTATATGAACTTATTGTTTTATTTTATTTCAAAAAGAAAATTAACTTCTGAATTTTTTTTTTTAATATAGCATATATAAATCAGAAAATTAAAAATATTTCAATACACAAAATTTAAATATACATCTAAATTCTAATTTTAATTTTAATTGATTCCACCTAATATTATACTTGATATATAATTATTAAGATCTAAGCGTAATCATTATTTATTTACTTTCATATAATAAACAGATATCACAATAACTCATAAAAAATGAAGAAAATACAAAAGTGAGGTAATACTAATAATAATAACTAAATATGTTTCTAGAACTATTTAATTTTGTTGTTATCATTCGTGATAGATTTTGTTTGCATGAAATTACATTTTTACCTTTGATTATCATTCACTACATATATATAAAGATGTATCTAGAACTATTTATTCTTGTTAGATTTTTGTTAGAATGAAATTATATTTTAGTCTTCTTCAATACAAATATATCATCCTATTCATTTTTATTTGTAAAGTTACTTTTCAACATCTTTTTCTTTAATTTCAATCAAATATATATTATTAATTTGATCATACTTATTTATTTTCAGGTATATTATTAGAGCCAAAATAAAGATGAAAATAATTAATTCATGATAAATTTTTATATAAAAAGTAGGTATTTTTTTAAACACAACGAATAAAAATAATATTAAGAATTAAATTAAAGTAATAGTAAAATAGAGTAATAATAAAAATAGGTATCATAATAACTCATAAAAGAAACATAAATGAAGTAATAACAAAATAAGTTAATGGTTATAACAATAACTTAAGATGCTTCTAGAATTATTTAATTTTTTTATTATCATTCTTGATAGATTTTTGTTAGCGTGAAATTAAATTTTTGTCCTTGATCATTACTCACTTCATATGTAGAAAAATATTTCTAGAATTATTAATTATCTTTCTAAATAGATTTTTGTTAGCGTGAAATTACATTTTTGCCCTTAATCGTTCTCTCACTTCACTCTTCTATATTTTTTTTTTTTTTTTAAAAAAAAAAAATATATATATATATATATATATATATATATA